CACAAGCTTGATTTCACAGCCATTATAACAATAATAAAATAAAATAAAATAAAATATTGATTTTTTAAGCCATATCAATAAATTTTTTCAAGTATTTTAAGCCACATAAGATTCTTTATATGTAACAAAATTATTTCCTAATTCTTATTCAGCTCATTAATGAGTAATATTAGCCGTCAGATTATAACAGTAAGAAATAGATTAAAATATGTCAGTATCAACTAGTCAAAATGAAGACTTTGTTGTCGAAGTTGTCGAGCCTGGAGACAAAGAAGATAAAAATAAATCTGAAAGTGAAGAAAACAAACCTGAAAAATATTTTGCAATTAGTCCAGAAGGCGACTTTCTAGTTGAACTTGTTGTAAAAAATCTTGGTAACATATTGCGTAATAACTGTTTATAAATGATTAGTACTATTAATAAAATTTTAAAATCTTCAGCTGATTTAGAATTCGAATTACAAATGTATGATATTAAAAATTCGAATAATGCAGATGATTCAACATTAGAGAGCAACTTGGAACAAAAGGGTGGCTTGAAACCAGAGAGTGATCCAGAGTTAGAAGGCGACCAGGAATTATCGTACAAGAAACTTTCCAGCATCGATACTACATTCAAATTTACTGATAGGCAACTCGATTTGATTAAGGATGAATATGAAAACATATTTAGATGGTCCGTCGCCGTGTCAGATAAATCAACTAGTTCATCAGAATTTAGATTATTAGCAATATCTTGTATCAGTCTTAAGGACATGATATATTATAAGGAAAATTTAAATAAAATCCATCTAACGGAAACTCCTAATCATGGATTTACATTCGTTTTCATTATCAATATTAATAATGATAATTATTTAATTAGTGCGATTAATGATAAGGAATTACCGATTAAATTTGGTGGAATAGTCAAATTGTTTTTTAAAAAAGACTGTTTAAATAATAAGGAGGTTGAAAAAGATAAGCAAAGAACTAATAAAATCAGTCAAAACTCTGATGGATACACTCTTATTCTATTCACACTGACAGGGATCTATAAGTATCAAATAAAGAATAAAATTATCAAAAACCTAGAAAAGTTAAGGTACCCGAGAAGAGTATACAACGCTATGATTCATAATATGGCTTTTTTTCTTGATTTGCCTATTAATCCAGAGAAATTTGCATATGAGATGGTATCCCTGTATACTATTAAGAAATGCATAAATCAACATTATTTTTTGGTTGATACTATGAATGAAGATATCAAATATATAGAAGTATACAATTTAAATACAAACCAGTTGGTAAATACTTTTCAGAGACAGAATTTACCCGGACCACTCAATGTAGATGCGTCTTCTTTATATGCAATATCTAACAATGGCAAATTATTAGCATACATATCTTTACTCAATAAAGCAGTCAAATTATATTCGATAGAATGTGGTCTTGAAATAGCAGAGATTATAATAGATATACCAGATCCAGAATTAGAATATATCGATTTTTTTCGCAATGACGAAATGCTTCTTGTACTTTCAAAAAGTAAATGGTTTGTGTGGGATATTTTTGGCTCCTTACGAGATTCTGTTAAATTAGAGGATTTAGGATTTATAATAGAACTTCCATTAGAATTTGATAAAAAAATAGAACAATCAAATTCATTCTTGGTCGTTGATAAGGGTGACGAACTAGCTATTTATGATAATTTGATCATAGATAAATATTTGAAATATTTGAAAAATTTAAAGAAAGATGACGAACAAAATTGGAAAACATTATCAAGTGATTATTTTTCGAGGGAAGAATTCGATAATAATAATATCCTAGATCTTCAGGATAAAGAATCAAAATTAGATGAATATCATCAAATACTTGAACCTTGGCTAATAGACGAAGATAGAAGATATTCACGATATTCGTTCTATCTTGATAAGAAAAAAGAAAAACTTCTTTTAATCGGAAATCATACAATTCAAGTTTGGCATGATCAGGGACCAGAAAAAGGTCCTAAAAAAAGATCTCTTGAATTCATTCATGTGCCTTTATCTCATTTGTCCTTCAATAATAAACAAAGTTTTAAGGATACGTATGATACTGAATTCAATGTTATAAAAGTAACAGATATCAGTTATTACAACGGAAAATTCAAGCTTAACATTCAAATTGAAGATGAAACTTCTCAAATTCAAGTTGAAAATCCTTCTCAGATCAAAATGGAAAATAGAAACGATATTATAATTGCAGTAAAATATGCTTGTTATTCACTTAAATATTTATTTGAATATAAAAAGTATGAATTATTTTTTGAGGAGCGAAAATTAAAATATAAAAATATCATTGAACAAACACGAAAAATAATATTGAGATTTATAAGAATGTATCCAGATGAATGGAAGTTGTTAGATATTCGATATGATTTGATGAGTGTCCTTATCGAAGCGAGGGAATATAAACTCATAAACGACATTTTATCTTCTGGAGAACCGCTTCATATACCTCAATACTCTTCTTGGTCGGGTGGAATAAGTACAATTTGTACTGCCCTTTCGGGTTTGTATACTTAATTGTGCTGGCTTCTTTAAATGTATTATATGTGTTAAATTAATAATGCTTTATCACCTATCTGAAGATCGTACTATGCTGGCATATTTTTTA